GGGCCACCAAGAGTCCAATTAATAGTCCAACCCATCAACCAGTGAACAAACAAATTCAGCCTATTTAGCAGCCAAAGGCCCAACATCACTGTGCCATATCTTTACAATAAAAGCTCGAAAGCTGTCCAGTGCATTATCTGCTGCAAGCTCTGTCTGTGATCATGTCCACGATTGGGTTCTTGGAACTCCAAAGGTATAGTTTACATTGAATACGAATTAAACAAATTTGTATCCACTTCATCTGTTTTATATTGTTCTTATCTGTTTCCTTCTTTTATGCAGGGGACTTAGGTGTCAATGGGAGTGTATTCTGATGGGTCTTATGGCGTCCCACCTGGAATAATATATTCTTTCCCCATTACTTGATAGAAAGGAGAATGGCCAACTGTGCAAGGTTAGAACACAATACGTTCTTTACAACATGACAATGATCAAAGACTAAAGGGTATAACTCTGTGCAAGGCTCAAGATAGAAGAATTTTCAAGGGAGAAGATGGATGCAACCACAAAAGAATTGGTCGAGGAAAAATCATTGGCCTATTCATGCCTCAATTGAGAGTGCACTCAATCTATTTCCATGTCTCCCTTTACTCAAAAGTAAAATAAGACACATTATCTGCTTAGTTAAAGCGTTCAATCTCGGAAGTACTGAGCAATAACATTTGTGACATTATTCATCGGTTATGCTTGTTTATTTTGACGTGACGAGAGACCTTACCTAAAAAAAACTATCAGAAGGTGTTCAAGGATAGGAACGTGCAGATGCTTGTTACAACTGAAGATAGCGCAAAAGCTTGTATCTTAGGCAATGCTAATTTACAATCTTCTTATGTCAATGAAAAAAAGTCTCGCAATTCGTGAACTTTGTTCCGAAATTATTTTTGTTGGTATGGCTATTCTCAGCCTTTTAATTTTAGGAATTGTCTACTTGTACATAATAATATGTACATCAAGGTGTCCACCCCCTCACATGGGGGTGGGATCCACTTGGAGATAATATTTTTTATTCAAGTGGGCCCCACCCCCATGTGAGGGGGTGGTCACCTTGATGTACATATTATTATGTACAAGTAGCAATGTTCTTAATTTTATAGTATTTTTGAACTTATTTTATTTTCTCTAGTTGATTCATAATAAGGTTTTAATAGTCTTTTTTTGTTAAAAATCTAACATTGGCACAAACTAATTAATGCGTTATAAAGTTAACATATTAGGAATAATACTATCGAGCAAATAAGTTAGATATCAAGTTGCAATAAATTCCATAAATTAAGGACTGGTGGCAGAATTTTCCCAAAAATAATGCCACTAAAATCAGCCGTTCTTCATGTTTCAACTCAGCCAGCAAACGAAAATTAGAAAATCGTCCCCTTCTTGCATACTATATACGCTCAATCAGGTAGAAGTATACAAATGAATCTGTTTCATGTTTTGTTGCATTAATTATTTTTCATTTTTTTGGGAAGAATCATTTTATTTTTCTGTTAACCCTTCAGAATGCTATTGAGGCTTGGAACTTTCTTCATTTGTTTGAAGCTGTAAACTAATTATCTTCTTCAAAAAATAAAAAAATCTGCGAAAATATATTTGTGGTGTGAAAAAATGATTTAGAAAGACAACATTTATTAGCGATTCTATTTTTTTTTTATGGATTTTACTGCCATGCATATGTCAATTTTATGAGCTTCGGAGATTCTTCTTGAAAATTCTTTTTTTAAGTGCAATGAAACATAGTTAATACTTGTTAACTGTTGATTTGATGAATTATTATTGTTTATTTGAAAATTATTGTGGCGGACCTAGCATCTGGCCAACCCTCGCGGCCGCCCTGCTAGGTCTGCCGGAAACTTCAGACGACCGTCGAGAGCCGGGAAGAAGATGAAGAACAGAAGAAGGGGGAGCTGGAGTGGACGGGGAGCTGGAAATGTCAAATTTTTTTGGGCCTTATTTTAAAAAAAGGCCCAATTAATTAGCCCAATCCAGGGCCAATTGGCCATGGGTTTTGCTTGAATTCTATTTAGACAATGGCTCAAATC